GCATATGAAACTATTACATGTACTGGTATCGCAAGTTAAGTTGGTTTTCTCCAACCAAAACATAAGTACTAATCAATTGGTTCTTGATCAGGTTCGTAAAGTTTGGATCCTTTTCTTTTTGGAACCTTTAGTTTTCCTTTGTATGAAGTAAAAGTTAATCTTTTTGTCTATATTAAACTCTTCTTATCTTTTATATAGAATCTTTGTGTCTTCAAAGTATTGATACGTGAAGAGGTATTGATTATAGAGTATTTGTTGGTTGATTCTCTCTCTGTTAATTCATTAATGACATCTATATGTTCTCCAGATTCTTTGAAGCACTAGAGTGAAGATAGTATGTGTATATTTTTTTCTTTTTCATTTTTTTATTCTTTACATTTTTTATTTTATTTTTGTATTGATCATGGAATTTTTTAATTCTACATATCATGTTTATTTTAGGCATGTTTTAACCTGATAAAATGTAACGACCCGACCGGTCGTTTTGAGCCGTAGCGCGCCGTTCAGCAGTTTGAGGCTATGAGCAGCTTCAATTCAGGCATTATGACTTGTACGCGTGGTCAGAATTAAATTTCGGGAAGTTCGGAGTTGACCTGGAGAGGAAATTCTCATTTCGGGAGCTTTAAGTTGAGAGAATTGACAAGGGTTGGATTTCAGAGTAAACGACCTCGGAATCGGTATCTGAAGGTTTCAGCAGGCTCGTACGATGATTTTCGACCTGGGCGTATGCCCGGATCGGGTTTCGGGCGACCCGGGAGCATTTTGGCGCCTATTGTGGAAGTTAGCATTTTGGAAGAAATTTCATAAGTTTGGGTTAAAGTGCATCTCAGTGTTATCGATGTCCGTTTGGGATTCCGACCCCGGGAGTAGCTCCGTATGGTGATTCTAAAGTTGGGAGCGCGATCAGAAGTGAATTCAGATGTCCGTGGAGCATTTTGGAGTCATTTGGCTAAAGATAGAAATTTGAAGGTTTTTGAGAAGTTTGACCGGAAGTGGACTTTTTGATATCGGGGTCGGAATCCGATTTCGAAAGTTGGAGTAGCTCCGTAATGTCGAATATGACTTGTGTGCAAAATTTGAAGTCAATCGGACGTGATTTGATAGGTTTAAACATCGAAAGTAGAAGTTTGAAATTCTAAAGTTCATAAAGCTTGGATTGGAGGTCGATTCGTGGTTTTAGCGTTGTTTGATATGATTTGAGGCCTCGAGCAAGTCCGCAATGTGTTTTGGGACTGGTTGGCATGATTGGTTGGGGTCCCGGGGGGCTCGGGTGGATTCCGGATCGAAATTTGAATTTTGGAGATAGCTTAAGGGGTCTGGTTGCTGGTATAACCGCTTCTGCGGAGGGTTCACCGCAGAAGCGGCCCCGCAGAAGCGAGGAAGGGAACTGCAGAAGCGGTTAGGTGTGAAAGGAGCAGGGACCGCAGATGCGGGGGTATTGGCCGCATCTGCGCAAGCGCAGAAGCGAGAAGAAGGACCCGCAGAAGCGGTGATTGGCGCAGGTGCGATGAGGGCTCCGCAGATGCGGACTCGCAGAAGCGGCGAGGAGTCCGCAGGTGCGGAAGTCGCTGGGCAGAATGTTTTAAAAAACGGGGTTGAGTTCATTTCACCAATTTTTCTCTTCTTTGGGGCGATTTTGGAGCTTTTTGAAAGGGACTTCCACCTAGCAACTTGGAGGTAAGTTAATCCCACCTATCTTGAGTTAAATACATTGATTATGTATGGATTTCAGCATGTAAATTGGTAAAAATTTGGGGTTTTGGTAGAAAGACCTAGAAATTGATATTCTTGGAATTTGACCACGATTTTGGGTATGAAATTGAGAGTAAATTATATATTTGAGTTTGTGGAGTTATGGGTAAGCTTAATCTTCGAAAATTTTCGGAATCCATGCACGTGGGCCCGAGGGCGTTTTTTTTAACTTTTCGATCGGGGTTAGGAATTGTTATAAATTGGATTAATATGAGTAGTTTATCGTATATTAATGGATTTGCATAATCATTGGCTAGCTTTGGAGCATTTAGCATCGATTCAAGTCTTCGGAAGGGCGTGGAATGCCAGTTATGGATCTTCAGAGCGAGGTGAGTTTCCTTTCTAACCTTGTAACAGGGAATATTCCCCATAGGTGAAATAATTGGTTATGTGCTCCTATTTGTGGGGGCTACGTACATAGAGGTGACGAGAGTCCGTGCGTAGCTACTAATATGTGTAAGTACAGGTAGTCTAGGACCCAAAAGCATGTACTTGGAATAATTGTAATCTTATTGACAGTTGAATTTCTTAAATCCTATAGAATTGGTAAATGAATTTCTAAGAGGATTAAACTTTATTTTCTTTAAATCATTAAAAGAGAATTGGCTTCCAATGGGATAAATGTTCCCCGTAAAATTCTTAATTTGTTGTTTGGGCATGTATTTCTATGTGTACCTGCGTCGCATGTATGGTACGCGAGCAGGGTTATTGTTTATTTAGAATTTGACCGCGTCGCATGTATGATTCGTGAGCGGGCTAATAGTTGCATCTATGGTTCGGGCCGCTCGACCCTCCACAGTGCACATTTTGCATTTATGTTGGATCGGGCCGTACGACCTCAGCATGAATTGCGCATGTTTGAATTGCTTGTCTTGAGAATTATTGATATTGCCATCTACTCTCCCCGACTTGAGATAATTGTTAATTAATGGATTATGAATCCGGAGACTTTTAATAAAAAGGAACTTTTACCCGTTTAGTAATTCACTTGAATCTACTGTTGTCCTTAATAAACTCGTGAGTCATCGCTTTAATAATATTATTATTTGACCATTAGTAAGTGTCGAAGTTGCCATCTCGTCTCTACTTCTTCGAGATTAGGCGGGATACTTACTGAGTACACGTTGTTTTCGTACTCATGCTACACTTGCTGTGCATTTTGTTGCACAGGTACAGGTATTCCTATTGGCCCATTGGGCGTAGCAGCACGGGCGACCCGGAGACTAGGTGAGCTGTATTTCCTCGAGGCGACCCGCAGCTAGTATAGTCTCTCTCAGAATTGTATTTACTTTCTGTCCATTTGTGTTCGGACAGCTGTTGTACTTTATTCAAATTCTTAGAAAATGCTCATGTACTTGTGACACCGGGTTCTGGGATGGTTATGAAGTATTTTGTATTAATTGCTTATCATTTAATTTGAATTGAAGCAATTATCTTTTTATTTGTAAATTTGGAGGAAAATCATAGATTTCCAAGAGTACTAAAACGAGAATTAAATTAAGTTATTTGATTGGCTTGCCTGACGGTGGTGTCCGGCGCCGTCATGATACCTCGGCATGAGTTGCGTATGTTTGAATTGCTTGTCTTGAGATTTATTGATATTGCCATCTGCTCTCCCCGACTTGAGATAATTGTTAATTAATGAATTGTGAATCCGGAGACTTTTAATAAAAAGGAACTTTTACCCGTTTAGTAATTCATTTGAATCTACTGCTGTCCTTAATAAACTCATGAGTCATCGCTTTAATAATATTATTATTTGACCATTAGTAAGTGTCGAAGTTGCCATCTCGTCTCTACTTCTTCGAGATTAGGCGGGATACTTACTGAGTACACGTTGTTTTCGTACTCATGCTACACTTGTTTGTCCGTCTTTTTTGCCTTTTAAATAAAGTTTTATACTGGACAGTCATTTTAATTATCTCCCTAATATTTAGGAATAACCATTTAATTATTTTCCTAATATTTAGGACTTCAAAATCAACTATATTTTGTTTCCAAAACTTTCCCTATTTAACATATGTGTAATATAACAGATCTTCAAAAGGAAAAATAATAAGTTAAAAAGAAAAGAAAGAGTAAGACAATTTTCGACTGTTTTTGTTTCGCATTTTGACCTTTTTATGTTTTTTATAGATAAAAAGTTACTTCTTTTATTCAATTTGAGCCACGTCAAGAAAAAAATGTTTATGTTTTTTTTTGTTAAGACTTGATACTTCTACTAAATACTTTTAATTATAAACTTTTATTTTCCTAATACCTATAATTATAATGTTAAAAATTTATCAAACTGACATATTAAGATGAAAATTAAACAGTTTGACTTTCGTATTGAGAAGCCGATTGAAAAGTACAATAAATAGTATTTCTACTTTGATCTATTTAATCAATATAAATTCCTAAATCTGCAAAAAATTATGATTTTTTGAACTATATCTATCTGAACTATTGTTCTAGAATATTAGCTCAATATTATTCATTTTAGAGACTTTGTATTCATCATTCATGAGCTCATTTTAATTTTATTTATATCTCAAACATAATATTTTAAAAACTGTTTATCTAATTTGCATAATCTTATACTCATTATCATAGGTTCACGTGCGACGCGCGTACCTAATGCTAGTCAATTTTAAAATTACAAAGATGAGAACGAAAGATATTTTTTATATAAATTTCATAATAATTAATAGGATACGTGTCAAGCACTAATTTATATATATTTTATTATAAAATAAAATTATAATCTGCAACAATCTTTTAGTTAAATGTATTGACTGATGATTGAAATTTTTTCTTGTGGCAGTTTCTTCTTTATTAAGTGATGTGTATAAGATCAATATTCGTCATTTTCAGGAATATGCGCTTTTATTTTATAACTCAAGCACAATATTTTAATATAATATTTTTATGTTTTTTTAAAAAGTCTTTACCACTTAAGATAGTATACAGGCGCAACGTATCATAAGACTAGTATGGTTAAAAATTTAACCTACAAGTTTAAGCTGACTTTCCCTTCAGTCTCATCCGAAAAAATTGTGCAATTTGATCGCTTCCAAATTATTCTCCCTAATTTTAGCTTATCACACAGGAGTAGTTGTTTTAAAAAAAAAAATAGTTTATATAGTAATCCTACTGAACATAGGGTTATTTACGATTACGTAAATATGGATAATGGGAGAAAGCGACATGAATAATATGGGGCACATTCATTATATAGACGAAATATTTTAGGTAATTTTAATTCGTCAGTCTGCAACCGAAACTTCAGTCATTGGGATTCGCAACCCATGTTTTTAGCTTATTTCTATAAATAGCGATAAGTATTTGATAGGAGCAAAGATTACATATTGTCCTGTTTTTTACAAAGGAATCTAAAAGAAAGAGGTTGATTTTGATGGGGTCGTGGAATTCAGTTTCGTTGCAAGTGTTGTACAATGTTTTTGGATGGATTGCGTTTGTCTTATGGTCTATTAGCTTTTATCCTCAAGTCGTACTCAATTTCCGTAGGAAAAGGTTTTGTGCTTCTTCTCTACATTTTTTACTACGTAGTTATTTTCTTTGTTTAATAATTATGTTACTTACGTGAATCTTTTTGAATGAAAAAACAGTGTGGTGGGGTTGAATTTTGATTTCGTGGTGTTGAATTTGACAAAGCACTCGTCATATCTTATCTACAATGTTTCCATGTTCTTCAGTTCTGCCGTTCAGAGGCAATACCATCGTCGATATGGCTCTAACGAGGTTTATAACACCACCTTCAAATCCTTTCTCCTTATGTTTTTTTTCCTATTCAATTGTGTGAATAGAGCTGACACGATTCCAAGTAGAAGGAGTAGAAGCGCACAATTTGATTAATTAATTGAAGTAGAAGGCTTTATTATATATGTTTAACCAAATACCATAAGGATTAAAAAAAAGTTAATATTAGATGGAATAATAAAATCACTATGTTTTATAGTGAAGTTAATGACTAAATGTGCCTTCATTGTTTAATTTCAGATGATACCTGTAGCTGCTAATGATGTGGCTTTCTCTACTCATGCTGTTGCTTTAACAGCATTTACCTTATTTCAGATTGCTATTTATGATGTAAGTATACCGTTCTTTTTTTACTCTTTTCAACTCAAATATTATATGCATACTGAAATTAATGTGAGTTTATGACTTTGGTTCTAATTAATATTTATTTTTACAGCGTGGAAATCAGAAGGTCTCAAAAACTGCTATAGCAATTGTTACTGTTGCTTGGTTAAGTGTTGCAGTTTGTGCATTTGTGGCTTTCCCTAAACATTCTTGGCTATGGCTAGTGTCCTGTTTCAAGTAAGCCATATTTTCTTTTAAATCCACAATTAGTTGTACTTAACACTCTTTTCTTCATGTTCAAAAATTTTCATAGCTACTAAAAAAAATTGGTCAAGTTAAAGTAACACTACTTTATCCATTTAACCACTATAATACTAGAATCTCACACTTCTATATCTTAATTGCAGCACATTGCAGGTTGTTATGACAGTAATTAAGTACATTCCCCAGGTATTAGCTTAATCCTTGGAAATTGTTCTTCTGTTTGAAGGGGGAAAACTCAAGATTTCTATATGAATTGCTTGTGATTTTGTTCTCTTCTATTCAAGTTACAAGATTACTACCCCTCCGGTCCAGATTTTTTGGCCTTTTTCTTGTGGTCCAAAATAAGTGATTTTTCCAGATTTCAAGAATGAATTAATTATTTTTTCCCTACATTGTCCTTGTAGTAAATAGTGTTGGAATATGTGTTAGGAGTGTTTATGTGAGATAGTAAAGGTTAATATGGTCAATTCTATTGCTAATTAATGCTAAAAGGTGGATTTCTTAATTTGTGTGAAAACATCCCAAAAATCACTTATTTTGGACCAGAGAGAGTATGTGATATGTTTAAAGTTGTACGGTCAAACATCTCTATAACAACATACTTATAAAACATCCAAAAAATCACTTATTTTGGACCGGAGGGAGTATGTGATATGTTTAAAGTTGTACAGTCAGACATCTCTATAACAACATACTTATATAACAGTCATTCACTATAAAAGCCAAATGTTTCTTGGAATTGATTTTTATATTATGTTATAATATATATTTTTTTTTTATAATATCACTTCACTATAGCAGCCGAAAAATATAAAAAAATACAAGGCTGTTATAGAGGGGTTTTTCTGTATTTGTTTCCTTGTGATGCTTCCTGAATTAAAGGTGGCTTTGAAAAATCTATAGGCTGTAATGAATTTCCGGCGAAAGAGCACAATTGGATTCAGTATTGGCAACATTTTGCTGGATTTGTTTGGAGGTTTAACAACTTACGGACAGATGGCAGTGCAATCCATAGATCAGCGTGAGTTTCTCAGTATTTCAATTATATGTTCGACTAACATACTTAGCTATTTCTTTTTTCCTTTTTTTTTACCTAGTTAAGAAATTCTATGAGAAGCTGTATATGTGCCTAATGTAGAAATATTTTGAACTATTTTTTGTACAGATTCTTGGGTGAACTTTTATGGAAACATCGGCAAGACCTTATTGTCATTGGTAAGAAATATTCCTTTATATCGCTCTATTTATTTACTACACTTTTCTTCAGACTCTCTTTGTATCTGATTCTTGAGCCTAATTACTACTCCATCTGTTTCAAAAATATTGGTACTATTTCCTTATTAGTACATTTCAGAAAAAATGCATCTTTCAATATTTCCTTTATAAGAAGCATTTATTGTCACAAAGTGATATGACAGATTTCAAACCACAAGTTTCAAAAGTTTTACAGCCACACAAATGCATATCTCAAAAAAGTCTTCTCTTTCTTATTAAAGTTTTTGACAAGTCATACTAAGACAATCTTTTTAAAATGGAGGGAGAAGTTATGTAATGCACAAACAATTATGTGGTTTTGAGGAAATGAATATTGCAGGTGTCGATATTCTTTGACATTCTCTTCATTGTGCAACATTATGTGTTCTATCCTTCTAGGAAAGAAGTTGCTGCTCCTGATTTTGATGTGGTAAGCATTAAGCCATTACTTTAATCTTCAAATCATCCACATAATTCATGATTTCAGAAAAAATATGTTTTTACAGTAAAATGTTTATTGTATGTTTTGATTATGTATGCAAAGATATGTTTACGTAAAGACTATATTTCTGCCTCTATTACCCAGGAGAGACCAAGGGACATTGAGGGACGCTGATGGTGTCTATGGCTGTAGCTAGTTATATTCCAACCAATTCATTTGCTCTTTCTCTAAGTATACTGAGCTCTAGAGTTGGGAGCACAAATTCCCTGAGGCAGAACAAATATCTCGTGCATGGTTAAGTGGATTCTATGTTTAGACGTTTCTCCAATCTACGAAATGTAGTTTCTTGTGGTATTCTGTGGAGCATTTAGAGAGAAATGACAATTGATGTTTTATTGAATGCGTAAACTGTACATGTCATGGACTTCACTGAATGCATTTTGCTGTAAAATGCATCAATTGTCTCATGGACTATTGGACTTCATTGGCTCGAAACATAGTTGAAAGAAGATACAGTCTATGATATTTGTAAATCTTACTCCAAAGTTTTCCAGTTTGTTCCAGTTAACTTGTATTTTGCCACGCCAGCAATGGTATTTTAACACTAGCAGAATCATTCTACAAGATCAAGCAGCCTTTAGTTTAATGACTAATGAACAGTTGCGGCTGAAGTTTTTGTAGCAGAACTTATGAACGTATTCTCTAACTATTTGAACTATATATATATATATATAATGGACATCACTGACGTGAATGTAGGATCTTAATTTTAGCAGGTTAAAGGACTTGGAAAAACTTATTTCAGGATTGATCAAATCTGAGAACCAGCTAGATTTTAAGTCCAGTATACACACGTGCGTACAACATAACAGCTATTCCGCAAAATATGGACCACGTAGAGAAACATGTTTACAATAATATTCCCTTCTTCAAATAAAAAGAAACTTCACTTCCTAGACATATTTACATAAGCATAAAATAAAGGCAGTTATCATCTATGATAGGATAAAATGGAGAGAGAACTGAGACAGCGGAAGACGGAATTAAAAAGGCAAGTCAAAAGCCACTGCCGGGCACCCAACCTAAATATATGGATACCTACCTTCGCAAAGACCAAAAATACTCTATTTCTATCTTCTTCCAAATTAAGCTATCATCATCGATAAGCTAAAGTTTGGATAATTCAAGTGGTGCTGCTGTTTTCTACAGCAAGGATGGTTCTTTTGTCAGAGACCACCCTTTCCACCGCTCTATTAGTTGATTGCTCGTTCTTGGTGCTGGTTTTAGTTCTACCATTTCTTTCAACAGTTCGTTGCAATATCCGGACTGGTATCCCACCCAAGTCAAAGTCTTCCTTCAAAGATCTAGTTAGGAACCTCAAATCTGTCTCTGAGAGCTGGGTTTTTCCGCTCATAAATGCAATAAAAGTTGGTGGCCTAGCTTTCACCTGAGTGAAATACTTGATCTTGGGTTGAGCCGCCTGGTCTTTCCAAGAATGTCTGCTCATGACCTGCCACACATTTCAACATTTATTTACCCAAACAAATATAACTTGGCCTGATGTGGCACATTTAGGGAAAATGTATACCTTGCGTAGCCAACGGTTAAGACGAGCTGTTGGCAATCTCAAACACCATTTTTCATATGTTTCAACAACCTGACGCATGACAGCTATCCGACCCTTTCCTTCTAGTGCTGAAACAAATACAACAGGTATTCCTGTGACCTGCAAATAAATTGCCTTAATGATGAATCAAATTCTACAACTGAAATTATAGAAGCAATTCTCCCGAAGGTCATCTACCAATTTTTAAAGTGATAACATGCATCAAAAGATAGGAAAAGGAAACATAAGACATACAGTACAAAATCATATGTCCCAACTATCAGCTAGAGTAACTACATTGTTATCAGTGCATAAAACTTGTTCTTTAAATAAGAATTTTTGTTCAAGGAGAAAATAAAGTTGTCCTTGAATAGCAGACTCATATATCAAGTGGTAATACCCAACTAAGTATAGTAAATTTCGATTCTGCTTCACTTCTTTTTAAGAAAGAAAGAGAAGGAACTGCCAAAGATTAATCCTGTGATTACTTGTCCACACATGTTTCCTTACATAGTCTATTTATGCAATCACAAGAAATCTCCCATTCCTAAATGTCTTGAGACACTCAGTGACTTACCATAGAAGTGATATCCTTCTAAAAAGAAAAAATTAAAAAAAAATATTAGGGACATACAAATGTCATGAATTCACTTATATTATGGAATGGAGCATGCTGGCAGGTTAGTGTTATGTCTGTGTTTTGCATATCTTATTCATTTCTATTTGTTGTGTTCAAGATCTCCAACTATTGCTGTAGCCTTACTGATTAAGGAACATTTAACATTACTACATGGATAAACCGATCTGTTACTATATGTTATGTTATAGGCAAGGCTGACATAAGTATCTCTTTCTAAAAACTTGCTATCATTATCATGATTCAAGTGCCCTAAAAATTTGTTGAAATGGAAGTGATTTGATCTATTACACAAGGAAGATCCTTCAGAAAGAGAAGAAAAAGCCCTCTATGAAATCTTTTTTCTGATAATTTTCTCACCTCTATAGGCCTTGCTGTTCTAACAATGATCAGTGATTTTCTCACCTCTATAGGCCTTGCTGTTCTAACAATGATCAGTGATATTCTGCACTGTGCTAAATTTGCCGATGACTTAGTTTCTTCCGATTGTATTCTAGACCATATATGTTTGTTTGCCTTGATGTCTCCTCACTTAAACATTTCCATCTCACCCAAGCTATTCTTATTTTTTTCAACATTGAGCTCAGACCTCAGAACCTTCCTGCTATGTTCACTTCATTCTTTTCCTGTTGCATGTTCTCATTTTTTTTGGTGTCACTTGATTTGAAAAGGAAACTGACTGGTGTAAGAAATTTTTTTTCTGGTGTTGACATAGTTGATTATGACTGAGTAGTTTCACTTAGCCAAAGATAAGTTCATTCGGATGAAAGATTGAGATATTTAGTCTTTAATGATTATAAATAGTACAATTGTATGCTTTTTGGTTGCCTAGCATGCACAATAAGAGCAGGGACGAAGTCACATGGCGATGTTGACTACCCTTCGTCGAAAAATTACACTATGCATATAGGTAAAATATTACATTTTAGAGGTATATAACACATGTGGGATTATACTATGTTGTTGTTGTTGAGGTATATAACACATATTGAACACCTTTTGTTGTGAATTTTTTTCACTTCTTTCAAATTTGAACACCCTTGGGGAAATTCCTATCTTTTCTACCGAGTAAGAGTACACCTGCATTTATGCTTCAAAGAATAATACTAAGTTTAAGATTAGTTATGATTTTTACAGTTAACTTCTCTTTCGGACAAGCTCCTCCAAAGGTATATGCATGAGAAACATTCAAATAAACATTAGGATAATTGCAGCAAGAGATTATAGTTTTCCACACTGACAAACCTGTGGTATAACTGTCTGAATTTCTGCAGGTACAGCTTCAATTACGCGCTTGTACAATTTGGAATTTTCTTCCCCTCTTAGAAGATCCATTTTATTTACAATCACAACCAGACCACGTCCTTCCTCTACTGCTCGCCTCGCTATAACTACTTCAACATGCTTCATGCTCCGCCTAGCTTTTGCAATCTAATCATTATAAAGGAAAAATATAGAACGGTTGTATGACAGTTAGAAAAAAATATGTGTGAAACACAGAAATAGAAATTACTCATACCACAAGAGCTTTAAAGGAGGGGGGAAAACAAGGAAAACTTTTGGAGATATATTCATGACTCAGGTAGTGCAGCAACTACACAAATCCCATTGAATTGTCAGTCCATTAGCAGGCATAGAGCTATATGTTGCATCGCAATTGATACATCTCTGATATTACAGGTGTTGGTTACACTTTTCAGCCAATGTTCTAGGTTGTTGCCCCCAAGCGGATGTTAGATATATGAAACATTGATGCAAGTCATTTCTTCATACACTGTTTAAACAAGATCCAACAGCTCTCCACTATCCCTTTCAGTCATTCTTATTCAAGCAAGAGATACCAAAGTTAAAATGTTGTCCAGTTCTCAGAAAGAAGACAGAAAAGAAGATTATGGTTCACAGAAATTCTAGTAAAAGCTAAAGCACTGGTAATGTTTTCCACATTAAAACTAACTCAAACACACACTGAATCAGCAAAGACAATGAAATGGACTAACCTTCATTGCCGAAAAATAAGGGTTGCAAATACTTATAGATCTAGGCCACTTTATTTATTTAAATATTTTTTATAATGGTTATATCTGGGCCAGCTTGCGCTCACATTGACTATTCCACCGGGTACCTGCTATCTCCCATTAGCATAGGTACCGTAACTCTGCGCACCAAGGCTTAGGCATATAGGAAGAAAGAAATCACCTAGCATTTTTTGTCTCTATTGGGATTTGAACCTTGACCTCCATAGTTTTCATCCAATTCACTGATTAATATGTCACACCCTTGGGTGCATCTAAGCCAGTTTATTAAAACTGCAATTTAATTGTTTATCACACAGCAAATACATTAAGTGGGCCAAATTACAACAACAACAACAACATACCCCAGTATCATCCCACACCGTGGGGTCTGGGGATGGTAGTGTGTACGCAGACTTTACCCCTACCTTGTGAGGATAGAGAGGCTGTTTCCAATAGACCCTCGACTCAGGAAAAAGTGGGCCAAATTCATGAATCTAAAACCAAAAAAATTGATAATCACAATTAGCAAACCTCTTCTGCATCGAGGACCAAAGCAATTATATGTGCTCTCATAAGGTGCTTCCTTGATTGCACAATACTCAAAGATGCTGGGCCCTTGTCCTGTTTTGTCCTTTCCAACCAACCTGCTGTGTCAACCTGAGACAATTATACCCTCACAACATCAGACGATCATGCTAATACATAAATCAAGGAGCCTCTACTCAAGATAGAAATCATGGGCAATGAGGCATATGTCTTAGTGCCTTGCCTACACTTAAGCACAACTTAAGCTAAGCTAAGCGAAGCACCCTTCTTGAGCTTTTCTAGGCTTTAGGGTTTAAGCGCGCCTTAAATGAGCCTTTGACAACACTGTTTTGTGTCATTCAATGACACTTTTATTCATCTGACTTATTTCTCGAAACAATTCGTATTACTGGTGGTATGAACCTATGATGCGCGGACCCTCCAAAATGTAGTTGTACCGTGTCAGATCCCTATAAAATGCACTACTTTTGGAGGATCCGACACATATCCAGCCAGATTTTCGGAGAGTCCGAGCAACATAGGTATGAACTATGAAGGTCAAAGCCGATAGGGATGAATCTTCCCCGTATGCATCTATGCTTGCTGCACAAGATGCTTCTCAGAGATGCAAGGAGTTTGTCATCAATGCACTTCACATTAAGCTTCAAGCCACTGGTGGAAACAAGACTTAAACACCTGGACCTGGTGCTCAGTATGATCTCAGGGCTCCTACCCACTAGAGGCCTAGGAATGAAAATTGGTCGTATAGAGGATATGACTCCAGTTCGTAC